TGCACTTTTGTACGTCTTTTATACATGAATATGTGTCCCCGGTGTTCAAGGGAACTCACCAAGTGTCAGAAAACACAACCCTCTCTATTTTCCTCCATACCCAAATCTCTAAAAAAGGGGCTGCAACGGATCTGATAAAAACTGATCCAGATTTGAACACTGTCCTGACGTCAGGACAGTGGCGCTACGGCTATTGGGCCAACTCCACCAATCAGGAGGAGACAGCCACGGCCATTGCCGTTCGAAAGCGCTGGAGACGCTGTAGTATCTATGCCAGGCCAGTAGATGGTGCTGTTCTCACTGAATCTGCCCTTGCTAAAACAGAGCTAGAAATGGTCAAATTGAGCAAAATGAGGCATGGCTAAAATGCATGATCTGTTTGGTATTTTGAAAAAAAAAAAGTATAAATATGCCTTATATAGGTATGGTCCTACACTATATTATTCAAATATAGCATGATAGGTCCACTTTAAGTAAGCTTTCTTAACGCTAATGTTATAATAGTCAGATTGCTCTGAAGATGGGAGGTGATATTCTATTAATTTTCACGATCACACAGTCAGTTGATTTTTGCCGGCCGTCTTTCCTTCAACGGCAGTTTTTCTGTATTTCCTCTATCCGGTAATATGACTTGATCGCTTTAAACTCCGCACACAGAGCTCTGATTGGTCAGCAGGCGGTGCTTTCACTGAGTTGATCTCTTAGCCTGCAACCTAACGTGCTCCGGACCAGGCTAGCCGTTCAGCACAAGTTACCATGGAGATCTAGCCCGCTAAGAAGTGAACCAGCGTCGTAGGACCCAGAGTTTTCCCTGAAGTTAGCTAGCTAAGCGAAAATCCGGCTTTGTAGTACAGGCCTCTGTTGTCTTTTAAGATTTAAGATTATTTTTAAATTGTAATCGTGAAAATGATGATGTTTTTGCTACAAATGTAGGCTACCTATAGTTTGTACTGCAATGTCCCTGATTCAATTCACATTCTGTTGCATGTCTTTTTGTCCATATCTCTATATAACTATCAATGAATGGCAAAAATATTGTAACTGACCTCAAGCTTTGATGATATCGTAGCATACTAGCATGTGCATTAGTCTCTATTTCTGCTAATTATCTGCCAAACAAGAATACACTTACTCCCTTACTTAACACATTCTGCTATATTAATGCCTTTAAGAAAGATTCCATGTGATTGAATAACAGGTTTTTTTGCATGAGCCCATACTGTAAATACGTTCTGAGTGCATGACAGAGCATGTCTCATGATGTTCAACTAAATGACAAGTTATTTAAGGATGACAATGAACAAAAAGCTTGTCAGAAGGTTGACACGCTTCCCCTCTAACCTGTGCACGTCTCCTCACATCTTTTAAATGTCCCTGACAGCTTCTTCAATCAGAGAATGATCTAACAGACAAGAAAGAAAAGGCACACACTGCGTTACCTCCTGACGCAGCTTGATACTACGAACACAGCCTACTGATCTGAAGTATAACATTAGATAAAATACAGTATGAACCCTTGACAGTGACACTTTTTATAGTAAAGATTCTGCCAGGATCAACACCTTTGATGTGATCGTCGCTTTCTTGGCTGGTTTCCTTGACAACACAACAGAACACTTCTGAGCTTGAAATTAGTTTGTCAGGGTTCAAAAGGGAGAAAACGTCAAATGAATATGAGCTGAACAAACAACTCCAATCAATTATGTCTGCAGAAATTGTCTAAAGTTCATCAGTGGTGACTGATCAAGTTTTTAGGGGATGGCGGCAGGTTCTGGCATTGAAGAAAGCACAAGAGGCTGAGAAATTCAACACCGTACACATTTTCTTTTAACAAACTAAAGGAAATGGAAAAAGCCCCAAAAGCATAACAGGGCCCCTTTAAGTATTGTAGACAATTAAACTTGCTATAGGGTTGGCCAGGGGGTTGTTTGCTTTTGAAGACCATTGGATAAAATAAGAGCTAAGACAAACCTTTTATAATAATTTCAATAACATACATTTGTGTTATGACGTATGTCAATGCTCTGTCAACATGAATGACTATGGGCACAGGACCAGTCAAGGTTTTTTACTGTCACACAAAAACAAGCTTTTGTCAACAATTTCATTTTCTCCAAGCTCCTGCTACTTATCGACCTGCACAGGTTATTTACAAAAGAGTCTGGGAACAAGTTCAGTGACAAGTTCACAGCCTCCATTGTATCAGACAAAAGAATGCTAGATTGATGCAACGGTGGTGTAAACAAAACTCCTCAAACTAACCCTGAGATTACAGTATAATGTAGATGGAATAAATGAAAGATAGCATGAAAATGTATTATGTTGGTGCTGTTTTTGCTGCTGTCCTTTCAAGTTGAGAGCAACTACTTATAGAAGACAGAGTTCAATGTGGAAAATATAAACACCTTTACCATGTATACCATATATGTCTAGTTGTGAAGTTTTCCTGCAACTTCTTATTAGAGAAGTCTCCATGTGTGCTGCTGCTCATGCTGTGTTTGTTGACGTGTGCTCTTGAGTGGAAATGAAGGAGATTGGTTCACACAGGTGGGTGTCCAGATTTCTGTGGGAGAATGGTCGCTGCCATTGCCCCCCCCCTTTTGTTTGTCTGTGTCACGATTTGTAGCACACTGTGCTCACTGAAAACGTACACTTTTATTTTTGGGAGCTGGCAGGTGGGCTGCAGGTCCCGGCAGTCGGCCCACCCTGCCACTCAGCAGGTCCACCCCTGAGGCTAATTTACAATCGTAGCCCTTCTCTGAACCACTCTCATCTGTCGTCACCACTCTGCCTTACGCAACTGTTGCTCTGACCTATGTAGAAAAGGCTATTTTGGTAAATGTGCGTGTGAATGGTACGGTGAAGGTCTCCTGCGTGTAAGACCCTCGCGAGGTCCTACGGTGTGTGTCTTGAGGTACAGAGTGACCCCGATGTGTCAGCTTTGCTTATAAGAATGAACATAAAACTGGTGGACTACTGTGACACACACACACACACACACACACACACACACACACACACACACACACACACACACACACACACACACACACACACACACACACACACACACACACACACACACACACACACACACACACACACACAGCAAGGACACCTCCTCCGGGCTCTCCCTATGATCACTGTACTCCACCCACCCACACACACAAACTCCTGACATTTTTCCTCGAAGCACATGTATGGCTTCCAGTTCCTGGATGGAGCATGACATGACATGAAACCCACAGGCATCGCAAAAGTTCCTGCCCCTATATATTTGTGTGTACATACATTAATGTGTATGTTAACATTTTCCCTGGAGGGCACATTCAAGTTTGAATGTGTGTGTGTCTGCACATACATTTCATAAAAGCATTGAGGAAAAACAAGTGGATTACCATAAGGGCAAAGCAGAGCTGGAGGCTGGTAACCTCCTCATGAGTAATGGGAACTTTGTGACCAAACGATTTACCATGGCCAGAACAATATAATATGCACACACAAAACTAGCTGAATGTGTTTATTAGAGTTTCATAGATGCAAAATCAGTGAAATGCTGAGAAACAGAATAAGAAAAGATGAAGACAGTGACAAAATATATACTGCTTATAAAAAGTATTCATCGGCCCCTGTTGGACTTTTTTTCTAAACATCGAATCACAGAAGTACTAAGCAGGTTTAGACAATGATCTGAGAGTGACACTTCAACGTATCGATATAATACACATTATATAAACATATACATATTGTTAATAATAGATAAACGTCCACTTTCTATGGCAAGTGATTTTAGATGTCACAAAAGTGAAAACATATGTGTAAGTATCCCGGGTGTAAAAACGATCTTTGTTAAATACAACTGTATCAGAAAGGTCTAAATGTTGTTTTTAGCGAAGATGTAAAATAAACTTTGTAGAACAGTCTGAACCTTAATTTCATCCCAAAACGTTTATCATACAACTTGACAGTGCTGGTTGATTTAAAAGGACTGAAAACTAATGCAACGAGTATTTTGTGATTCATATTTGTACCTAATTGTCTCATGATCCATGTCAATAAAGGACTTATGATTCATCCACTTTGATTCAATGTAGAAAACAAAGAATAATGACAAAAGTGAATGGAGGGGATGAACACTTTCTATAGTGTATTTAAGTTACTTCACAGGGTAGCTAACGACATACAGACTCATACACACAAACTGCGTGGACACGTATTTAACTGCGCTTAAAACAAACATTTATCTAACAACAGAGTTTCTCACTAGCACAGCATCTAGCGTCCTCTGCTGTCTTTACAACAGGTGGCACACAAGTTGGTGAAACTCGCTGGTAAGGCTCTGTTGTCACTTAATACAGTTTATAGAGATTGTTTCATGGCTCTCCTTCTGAGAAAATATATACGAGTTTGGACTAGGGTTGCAAAGGGGCGGAACATTTCCGGTAAATTTCCATGGGAATTAATGGGAATTAACTTGGAATTGAGGCTAATGTAATCTAATTTTACCATATCCAAGCATAAATATTAAAAATGTGTTTTGTCATAAGAAAACATCCATGCAAAATGATACAATTAAAAAACATGACATTTCAACAGATTTATTTCTAAGTAGAACAGAACAAGTTTTAATTATTTTATTGAACAATCATTTGTTTCATTGAAGAACAAAAACATGAATGTTGAGTTAAATATTACTTCTAGAAATCATCTGTGCATGTGATGGAGGAATGCACAGTGCCTGTAGGTGTGGTCTCAATAGCCATGCAGTAAGCAGTGTGCTATGGCATGGATATTCAAGTGTACTTGAATGGCATCTGTTTGTTTTAGTCAAGATTATGCTAAAATATACTTTCCAACTATATTTAAGTTCCCTATGAAGCGCTAACCTTCAATTTTGAAAATTCCCAGTTTATTCCCGTTTATACCCATGGAAAGTTTCCATCTTTGAAAATTCCCGGAATTTTGCAACCCTAGTTTGGACCAAAGTTGAAAGAAAGGTAAAAGATTAAAATGCACTTTAATGTTTTCTTACGTTACAGATGTTTCAAAGGAAATCCTGCACTTTTTGGATGAACAAACTAGAATAATATGCTGCTGCAAAGATTCTAGACATAAAAATACATTTTGAATTGCAATGTGACAAATGTATAAACTAAAACTTCATAAATACTGCTGGTTAATGACAAATCTGCCCATGTATGTATATTTATTCTGTATATCTAGAAAAAAGAGAGGATGCAGTGCTGAGGATTGTTAAGAACAGCGGAAACATAAAATATGACGTATTAGGCCAAAGCACAGAACAATGTTTGGAATAAGTGATTATGGTTTGAAATGTGATATATTGAAGGTGCTTGATTCAGATTAAAGGACAATACTAAACCAAGTGCTTATCCTATTTAATCACATATTCAAACAGTGTTGTTAAGCAAAGGCTATTTAGCCCTCAACTCTTTTAGCTCATACCTCCTCTTCCTTCATTCCTCATAAGAAACAATTCACAAATGCACACGTTCACATATTCACATATTCTGGTCCACATTATGCAGACAAATGGACACGAGCCAAATATGCCAGTGACCATGTTTTTGTGCAGTACAGGCAAATGTCCTATGGAGTAACAGACAGTATCCATCACTGCTCATGTCTCAGTCTTGGTCCCAGTGGAACAAACCCTGGACAGAATCAGGTCACCTGTGACATCAGCTTTGCTTACAATAGCAAATATTTAATTTTGAACTGCAGGGTTATCCTGACAATTCATGAGCAATAGTACAGAAAAAGAGCTACAATAGAAAAACTAAGTTATAAATCATATTCAGCTACAACTGCAAGTAATAAACTATTTAAAAATTGCCAAGCACTTGATGCTAGTGCCTAGAATATCCCGACTAAGTCTTTTCTAAATACATTAGACATTTTTCTCAGCATGATCTTCATGCTTTTGTCCCATAATGCAATGCAGGGATTGAGTCACATGCCGCTGACCAATGGAAGCAGAGGAACAGAAGGCGCAGTCTTGTCGGACATCGATTAGGAAGCGAGTGATTGTAGTCCATCATAATGTCGCTCTTTGATTTTGAGTGCCACCGCTCCCAGCTGCTGCTTCTGTACATCAAGTCACGTACAATTCAATTGTGCAGGGACACCAGTGTCGGTTATATTTTACATGTGATCCTCATTGTCCGTTATTTTTGGTCCAGTTCATACCCAGAAGGAGCAGATGGCAGTATCAGGCCATAATCCACACACAGTGTCCGTCAATCTGGCCATTACAGTGGCAGAAAGATGATGTAGGTCATCTGAGGCTGACCGTCGGCCCTTTAGAAGACAGAAATCCACAGTTAGCCAAAGTGCCGTCAAATCGTACTCTTTTTAATGTGTTACAGCAGACTGAAAATACTGAGTCACACTAACATATCCCAGCCATCATCCCTGCACCTTAAACCAGTTTCACACTTTATCCCCTGAAAGGTCAAATCTACATTTTTCATCCAGACTACCTGTCTCGAAACCATGGCAACCAACTGCAGACAAGATGTGGACTCAATAAGCAGTTGTCAAGAGAGCAGATAGACAGCCGGACAGATAATGCGACAAACCAGCCTAACGCTTTCTCTGTCAATCAAACTTCATGTGTCAACTTCAGTGGACATCTCTATTTTTCCATACTCGTATATAGCTAACTCAGCTATACAGTATATTGGTTAAATCCAACTATTGTTTTCTTTACTAATGTATCTGTCCATACATTTTCCTCACATTTCAAAAGTTTAGACCAGCTAATTTCTGCTTGTTCAGTTACCTATATGATCAATTATTCAATTACAATTCAATTTATTCACCAATTTCAGCACAGTATAATATTCACAAAGGCATACATGATGAGCCATAGCAGAATAATCTTTATTTACTTTTCTGCCTCTGGAGTACTTTTTAACTAAAAGGAGGGCAATGTTTCAGTTGTCCTGCTTCAACTCACTGTGTTTTTCTTGTAGCTGGACTATTTATATTAATATTGAATTGCATTAGCTATAGCCTATAGGTATAGTATAATAAACAGACATATTTGTAAGAGCCTAATTTCCCATCTACATCATTTACTCACATTCACTGGTTTTATTGTGAAGACTTGCATGTTTAAATCAACCAATTAGCTTGTTGCAGCTCACACAGAATATAGATCTGACATAAATCAAAATGGATTAAAATTACAAATTAAAAAAATAAAGAATTTGTGTGTCATTTAAAAAAAATGTTCATACCTTTCTTGCAGCGACAATTATCGAACATCTCTAAACAGCTGAAAGATAAACAACAGTGCGGTTATGACAGAGAGGGACACACAGTGAGGGGTGAAGGTAGTGACGGGCTAAAATACAGGAGAGAAATGAAGCGTGGACTACATTAAGATACAGGCAGGTGTTGATGTTATGTCTGAACCCCAAGAGAAGTCGATAGAAAAAGGCTTGTTAGTGTGAGAGGAAAGAGAGTGGTGAATAAGTGATCAACATTCGAAAGTCTCAACAAATACCTTTAGATTCAAGAGAGAGAGATAATCAGGAGCAGTGAACCATCCTCTCTCTCACACACACACATTGACACTGACACACACACAGACAGACACACACTGCCAAACATGGTCAGCGTTCCATATTTACTCTTTCACTTCACAGTGAAAATTGGCCACATCAATATGCAGTGAATCTCTCTCCTCCACTCCCACTCCAACATACACAAACATCCGCCATAAATCCAGCTGCTGCCCCATCACCAAAGCAATCACACCTTCTCCCACACACCTCGTCTTCTCAGTGTATTGAAAAGACAAGGATCGATAGCAAATATCTGAAAGGCAACAACAACCCTGGAATTGTGTTTGTGCCATTTGAAGTAACTTCAGACTGCATTATTATGTGCTGCTGCAGTCAGTGGTAAACCATTGAGGGGAATGTGATGCTACAGAAACAACAGGAAGAGACAACTGCATCCTCATATTGTGGACATTTGGTCTCATACCACAGAGGCTGAGTGTACAGTGAATTAATTTGGATGGCTGCACTCGATTTTGATGGAAATAGGAGAACAGATGGCGAGGGTGATACTGATGTTGTTCAACAGGTCTGGTGTAATGTCAGTGCACTTGAAATGTAGTCCAACAAACCAAGAGGTATTATATTTGTCAAACTCTTGCCAAGTTTACAACTCTGTACACTGACACACAGTGATGACCAAACTTGCCTGTGGGCATGAGTTGAATTTGTGTTCCTCTCGGGCACAGGAGAAATGTGTTTTCCTTTGTTTATGTTGTTTCCTGGATATTTTAGAGCAATGCTTTGGCAGAGCCGCGCCAGAATGACTCTGTTTTGTTGGTTCTCAGTCCAAACCTCCCACTACATGAAGATGCAGCTGTCTACTCTTCTTCACATCATCTGAATTCTTAAAATGTTGAGACTCAGACACAAATTAGTTATTTATTTTCTAGGAAACACATCAAGGGAGTGCCCTATAGTCTAGTTTTGGAGGGAAAAAACACCAAGTTTGAGAACTCAGATGATGTTTGATGTTAAATCAAAGATGAATCATTGAACAGAGATTATTTATTCTGAACAGGTCTAATCCCAAACTTTTTTTGCGAAAGTAAATACCAAAAAGAGAAGACGAATATTTAAAAACAATAGAATTTGCATGTTTTTACAACTGCCATGCCCAATTATTCGTCTCAAATATGACACATTTTGAATAAACTTCTGTTCTCCAAATGTAAAGTACACATTGCAAAACTAGCACACACTCGGTGCAATTTGGTTCACTCTTCTGTGACATTGAGGATTGTGAGTGCCTGTTCAGCATGAATGTCTCTGATGAGCCAGGAGCTTTACATTTAGCTTCCTGGTTGGTCTCGGATTAGTCCCCGTGATTGGTAGGTTCACTCACAGCAAGCGGGTCTTGGCTGAAAGCTGCCACGCTGTTCCGCATCTCATTCTCACTGCCACGCAGCGGTATCAGTGACACATTACCGTGACGCGTATCCGGCAACACGCGGCTCACTCGTGTCTGCTGGAGTCCGTCCTGAGGCCACACGTTGCCATCATACTTTAATGAGGAGGGGACACGGACAGAGGGAGAAGGGGGGGGGGGAGATTTAACATTACTATCAGCAGGAAACTATTCTAAAACATTATCAAATGGCAGTATCTTGTTGTGTAATGAGGTAAAATTAATCTAATATAACTGCATTAACCCTGATGCTAAGGACCACCATACATTTTTGAAATGTCTTAAAGATTATTGACAAGTGGAAAAAAACAGCAATAGATTTGAGATTCAGAATTTCACATCTAGTTAACGAGGCCTATCAGCATATTGTGTGTGTGTGTGTGTGTGTGTGTGTGTGTGTGTGTGTGTGTGTGTGTGTGTGTGTGTGTGTGTGTGTGTGTGTGTGTGTGTGTGTGTGTGTGTGTGTGTGTGTGTGTGTGTGTGTGTGTGTGTGTGTGTGTGTGTGTGTGTCCGTGAGAAAACGCACCTGGATGCTGAGAAGAGTAGCATACCATTCCCTCATTTCTGTCTGGGTGTCACAGCAGAGATACCTGCAAATCAATAGAGGAGTAATGAACTGAGGGAGACAGTGTGATAAAAATAGGAGGTCTTGTGTGAATACAGAATGTGTGTGTGTGTGTATTTATGTTTGTGGTCCAGGGGGAGAAGAAGTCGGAGAGACATCCAGGGTCTGAGGGACATTAAGAAAAAGGCACCAGAAGAAAGAGAGGGGGAGACAAAGATAATAACTGAAATTGACACATCCTCTCTTATGGCTCTTGTAGCGCCATGAGCGTCAACACAGAGCTTGATTCCTAATTTAAACTACCAACGAAGAGGACCACTGATCTCGGTGTCCATGAAAAGTGCATTTTTTTCTCTGAAAAGCCTGTGTGTGTTTGCATATTTTATGCCTCTCAGTTTGCCTTCACATCAGCCCTCCGAGACATCAGCCATGCTGCTGAATAAATAGGCCCCCGTTATTATACAGTTATTATTGTTATGAGCACAGATTTAGACTGCAAAAATTATTCAAATGCTCTCCACTGAGACACAACAAAACACTGATACAGACTAAACACGATAAGGTAAAGTTTGCATCACAGACATATATTTAGCCACAGAGAGAGTAATCAAGAGATTAGGCACACATGCAAACATACCTCACACACACACACATACACACACGCAGCTCCTCCATAGTTTCCATCATTAAGGCCAACAGAGCTCATTAGTGCATGTTGGGATTCAAAACAGGACAGTCCCCCTGTTCCAGCACTTCCCATGCAATGAACTGTTTTCTATGCAATTAACCACTAATATAGACCATTATCAGCAGCAGAAGAACAAATGCTGCCCCCTTATCATCATGGGTTTGCACAAAGACACAGGATGACATGAACATAATATTCCAAAACCATGGTGACTGCTAGAATATGCTGATATAATTAATAAGTGTTAGAAAGTTTTAAGGGGATTTTAAAGGGATAACAGCATAAAACTAAGCGACATTAAGTGTAGTTGGTTAGGAGAGAGCTTCATGGGTAATTCCTCATTCATAAATGTTCTATTATTTCCCTTTCTGCCTCATCTCTAACCAGTCTTCTCTTCATTCATTTCCCTTTACCTGCACTAAATGCACAAACTTTCTTAGTACATAGTTTCTCCCCTTCAGCTTTGACTCTCCACTTTCCACTGCCTCCCACTGACTTCTCCCCCCACTCTCGGTTTCTTCCTCTCAGGTGAGTGTGTTTTTTCCTGAGAGCGTCATGGCGATAGAGCCTTAACCAAGAGATAATACTGCTTACAGCGTGAAGAAAACAGCTCTCCCATTATAACAGTGCTGATGTCTACTGCTGTTGACAGAGCAGAGGCCCACTGTAACATGAACACACAGAGCACACACACACACGCTGACAAGCCCCCAAACACACGCACAGCGATGCATATGTGAACGGATTAGAACAGAGGCATGGTTACAGGTGTAATCATGTGTGTTTCGCTCCTGGGTGCACCCGACCTTTCACATGCCTCCTTTTCCAAACTCTCATGCAGGGACCTGACCTGTTTTCTGTGCCTACAGAGGAGCCGCTAGCGTTTTCCTAACATTGCTCATGTTTACATGCACATGAAAAATGCGATCATGCTGCCACTGAGGGGAAAAGTGCCTACAAACACAAGTTTGGATTCGAGGCTGCTTAAAAAAGGGATAATAAGCTGTTGTGACGCTTTAAGTAGCACAGCTGGAAATACGTCTCTTAAAGGAATACAACTCTTATTTGTTTTTATTTGTCATACTTACTGATACTAGTGTGAGTAGATAAATGAAAGTCAAAAGCTAAGAATATACCATGTTTGCTCGCGACATGAGCGCTGACAGCTATGTCTTGTATTACAGGTATACATCACTGTAAACACAGAAGTGGACAGATACTCACCACTGCTGTTTCTCCTGCTTCTCTTGTTTTTTACTCTCACACACCACTGTTAGTCCCCAGCTAGAAACACACACACACACACACACACACACACACACACAGAAAGAGGAAATTAACAGCAGAACAATTATAAACGTCCCAGAGATAATGATTATTGTATCGAGTCTGCCCTCTAGTGGTCATTCTGTTAAGAAGTCCCCATTCATTATTCCAGATGAGGCAACGGATCCAAATGTTGGAATATTAATTATTAAAGTTTATAGAAAATTCCTTTAGATCATTTCCCTCAAGAGTAAATGCGGTTATACAAATGCTTTTCAATGTGTGTTGTTTTAAAATGATTCATTGTGACGTTAGCTCAGGATGTGGTTGTCATCTTTTTTACAGCAGCCACTTGTTGTTTTCGTCTCAGTAAATGTGAGGAGGATAAGAAGTGACATCAGTGCTACACGGCATGTGCTCACCATGTAGGAGGACGGAGTTTCTTCTTAATACCCAGGTAGACCTTTAAGCTTTTCACCACCCAATCACGCTCTGGACGGTTACTCTGAGGGAGACAGAAGGAGAGTGTGAAAAGCTGTGACAATAAAAACATGTAAAAGTTTAATTGAATCTATTCATCTTACTCTGACTTCCTTGTACATTCTGAGAGAGCTGGAATTCAGGATGAAGTATCGGTCGTGGAAACTTCCAGAGGACAGTCCCAATCCCAAGATGCTTCGCTCCTCTCTGAATTTCATCATCCCGTGTTTGGATAAATCCACTTTGCTGGCTGGAGGGCAGAATGAAAGTTTACAAAGAACTCAGAAACTCAAAGAGAAAACATCTTGTTGGCAGCGGGTTTGCGTGTTTACCCAGGTACACCATCATCGCCTCCATAGCCAGGTGTTTCTTGATGAGCAGATGGGAGTCGGTGCCAAAGGAGTGAAGGATGGGTAACACTCGCTCCTGATAGTGCAGTGGGCGTTCTGAGGGAGCAATGACAATAAACACAGGTTGATGTTTATGAATCTGAAGAATCCTCATGATGTTTTCACCTCACAAATCTCAGATCAACAGGTTGAGCTTTTGACAACCTGATTGACAATTTTGTAGCTATGAAAACATGTTCTATTTAAGCGAACAATTGCAAATTTGCAAAGATGTCGCTTCAGATACTGGCAGCGGATTGAGCTCTCACGCCTACATACTAAACTTGAAAGAGCTTTTGTAATCCAAAGGACACATCTGCAGTATAGAGATTATAACAAGAATTCCCCCCTGCTCTTCTCGTCACTCTTTCCCGCTACCTGTACCATTCCTTCTTCACCATCAGTTTGATGGGAAACCTGCCAAGTGAGGTGTTATTGGCATTCAACAAGCCACCTACGGGCTTCCCGGTGGGGAACCAGATGGCCTACATACCAGGCTCAAAACAAACCACGACAGTCACATTAATGAGAATGATCTTCCTGCCTCTGGAGGTTGTGTGTCACTTTGTGTAGGTCACGCTGGGGTTGAGTGGAGAGCACTTCACAAGCTTTGCGTCATTGTTTTTATTTTGCTTAGGGCACATTTTGTATCTTTGATATTCATTTTACGCATAAAGAAGTGTAACTTTTTAACCAAGTGGGCAGGAATCTGTACCTAATGTACAAAAGTGTATACAAGCAATGTATTTGTGAGACGCATTTGTCCTCTCTTTCTCACCCATTTCCTCCTTGTCGCTGACCTCCCAGCAGTTCCAGTACTCTTTGTCTTTAACCCGGATGTTACGCCGGTCCAGGACCTCACAGGTCAGCTCTGCTGCTGTCATAGAACCAGGGATCTGAGAGACGACGTAACACAATTACTCCTGAGAATAATTCTCCTTAGAAAGTGTGGCTAAACACTAATGTAGGCAGTTGTTATTACCCTGGGTCACGAGATAAGTATTGGGCAGAAATGTCAAATCTAAAACAATTTTGTGTAATTTGGAAAGGTCCAGGTCACCTTGACATGTTGCTCTGCTGTTTCCTTCTTTTCCTCCAAGTACACGGTACAGATGAAGTGCCCGCCAGGTTCAGTACTCTGAGTGTCCGGTACGCATGAACACAAACACACACACAGGCAGACAGAAAAGGTCAGACAGAATGATAACAGCATTAGGGCAACAAATAACAGAATGCATTAATGTCCAACTGCAGCACACATCTGCATGCATATACGTGTGAAAACAACACCGGAGTGTTTTTGCGAGTTAGTGTGTGACTCACGGGAAACTTTGTGTTGAGTGTCTCTCGCACTTTGATGATGACAGTGATCTCTTCCAGCTGCTTCTTAAGCTGCTGCTCATCCACCTGCAAACAAGTATACACACATTTTCTCACACATGCAACTGAATCAAATGTCAAATTATATAATACTTGAATTGCAGCGTCATGCCATTCTTTAGATCTCTGGTTGCAACTCCCTTGCCATTTCATTTCCCAATTTTAGGCTTAAAATGGTAAAATAGGACTGTTATCTGTTTCTCAAAGTGTTCTGCCGTTTGTTGGAGCTTAATCTTGCAGCCCATATTATATTTCATGTTCTTTGACATCTCACCCTTTCATAGCTTTTGACTCATTGTTGTGTCTGCAGTTTTCTGATACCATCACTTCAGATAAATCAATCAGCTTAGAGAACAAACTGTTTTGTCCTCCTGTCATCCCACATGCGAACAGTGAGCAGTGAGTCTGACCTCAAAGATGAGTGTGTAGTGCTGTATGAGGTCCTCTACGGCGCGGCCTGCAGTGTAGTCCTTCCCGTCCGTCTGGAAGAGTGTGGGGCCGAACACTATGGCCAGGTTATGGAGGTTCATCTGGTTCAGCTCAGAAAAACGCTGCACGCTGAAACACATTTGGGGAAAACACACATGGGTATTTGCAAACAGACATGCACACAGATACCAGATGATACTCAATGTGTGTCTGTTTCTCACCAAAAGAGATGGTTGATAAGGGCTTGTAGTGTAGCCTTGTTGACACGAGGAAGTCTGTTCAGCAGCAGCTGGAACTGGGAGATTTTCTGGCTTTCTTCCTGGATCCCTGGAGTAAGAGAATAAAAGAGGAGAAGGAAAGATAAAATCATGAATACAGAGGCGTTTTAGAAAGAAGCAAGATCCCAGAGTGTCAGGAAGTGTACGACAACCAAAGGGAGAGAGAGAATGAATTTGTGGGAGAAGGGGATAGAGATATAAAAAAGGAAGACAGAAACAGTGAGAGAGAAATGAAAAAAAAAAACAGACATTTTTGCCTCTGATCTCAAGTTCAAACTTTTGAAAATCATGCGCAACATGATACGAAACAAGATGTCACGCAGTTGCAGCCTCTCTAGAAAACTGCTTCCAATATATTTAAGAGTAGTAAAAAAAAACAACATTCAAGAGTTTGACTGAACTTTCTTGATGTGAAAAGACCTTTTGCATAGTTTATTCCCCCTTTACCTACCCTTAAGTAAACAGACATTCAACATGAAGTCTGTTGGGAATACTGCTTTGGTAGTCCCTTAAGTGTTAAGACGGTAAAACAGTCCAGAGCGAGGAATGTGGAATATCCTAAAGAATCTGGACGTATCCCTTTTTCACCTCCATTATATTGGAGAGGCACCAAATGTTTAACAATATCTTCAAACCTGATAAAATAAACATACATGTAAGGCTGTATTGGTTTAGGAAAAAAAATGTTTTGAGAATAAACCCATCCCAAAATCACAGCTTGACTAAACTGCGGGGCACAACAACCATCTTATGAATCTTACCAGCAGCACTTAGCCAGCCTTTGGATTCCTCTGACGTGAACAGCCCCTCCTCTAAGTCCCTGAAGAAGCGTTTGAGTGTGGTGGAGACGTCGTCCACCTGGTGGTCTCCTTCCCTCAGACGAACACTGCGGGCGTCACGGTGAAATCTCTCGCACAGCGCGGCCACACGGGAGTTCACACCGCTCTTACGATATATCCCCTCAGAGGTCAAGCCTAAGAAAAACAAAACCATCGCACACAAAAAACATATTGTTAGAAACACAGGCCATGTCGATACCATAAGAGAATGGACACGTTGTTACAACACTGATTATTTAAAAAAAAACTTGTTCCTTCAAGTTGATAGTCATATTTCTGCTTAAACAGAACAGCCGAGTTTACATTTAGGATTGTAAACTGAAATCATGATAAAAAACAAAAATGGACAGCATGTGTAAAGTGTATTCCACCTCAAAACTAGACTTATTTTGGGGTAATAAGAGGATCAATGAATAATATTGTTGCAACATTAGAGATTGTTCATGAGGACAAAATATGTGGTTATTAGATTTGTTATTGTTTTATGCAAATTGCTGCTTCTGCATTGTTCTTAAAAGACTAATACTTTGATGTTCCCATTAAGTGACGTCAAATAATGTGTATTCAACCATTATTCTATCAAAAATAAGACAAAACTGCAAAATATCTGCAAACACATTGTTAATGGAGGGGCCATCACTAAAATATGTTTACAATTGTGTGTCAGTTTATGTTAAATTAGAAAATAAAGAGCCTGGGGTGTGAACATTTGCAAGTCATTTCCACTAGAGGGATTCTGGCTCTTTATGTAGCAATGAGTCATGACTAAAATCCTGTTTCAACCAAGTGTGTGATTTCTCAACTGAGGCTTGGTCACAATGTAGTTCCTTTAGGACAGACCTGTCAGGACAAGATGATGTAGGCCAAGTGACTGCAGTTCCTCATATGGCTCCAAACACCAATAACAAGTCACTATCTAAAGGTTCAAAGAACTTAATAACGGCAAAAAGGATGGTAATGCAAATGTGTCATGGTGAATGACCATTATCAGCACATTAAGGGGGAAATGAGGACAGTTCTGCCCTGGTTTCCCGGAAAGCTGACCAGAGGGATTAACATCTCAGACAGAAAGTAGAGGATATCAGCAAAATGAAGCCCACACACACACACACACACACACACACACACACACACACACACACACACACACACACACACACACACACACACACACACACACACACACACACACACACACACACACACACACACACACACACACACACACCAACACACACACACACACACACACACACACACACACACACACACACACACACACACACACACACACACACACACACACCACACACACACACACACACACACACACAGCACACACACACACACACACACACACACACACACACACACACACACACACACACACACACACACACACACACACACACACACACACACATCACACACACACACACACACACACACACACACACACACACACACACACACACACACACACACACACACACACACACACACACACACACACACACACACACACACATTGAACCACAAGTGCATCCAGTAAATGGAGTGTGAGTGAGAGGAGATCAAAAGGGAGGGAACTGGGGTTGACAGAGAGATGAGAGACAGCATGTCAGCACGTGGTTTTGGGAGGCAGACAAAGGACAATGGGCAAAAATGAAAAAACATTACAAAAGAGAGAAAAAGAAAAGCAGGAATGATGGAGACATGGAAGTGAAACAGAGTTATTTTGTTATCTTGCAGTCCGTTGGGCTGAACTCCTGCCATTATAATCACATGAGGCCAAACACATAGAAAGCGCCAAGTGTGCACACACAGTAAGGCCCTCAAAAGACCAAAATCACATACAGTACAGCAATGTAGACTGTGTACAAGTAAATATATTCCTGTGATGTAAATGCAAGCAGAGCCAATGTGTGTGTCAAAGATAAGGAGCATGAATTTGTGCATTTAGATGAGTGTGTGCCTTTGGATGTTGACACAGTGAGCAACAGAGGGAATAAGGTAACTCTCTAAATGGCCGTGTCTCACCGCACTGCGTGATGTAGCCGATGCAGCTGTGCACTATGACAGGTATGTCTGTCTCCGTCAGCTGCTGCTGGCTCAGTGTGTCTCCTCCACTCCCCGCTGCTGCCTGGATGGCCGTACACCAGCCGGCAAAATCCAACTTCCTCTCACCCTCTATGTACAAAGTCCTGCATAAAGAGAGAGAGAACGACAGAGGAGAAAAGGGAAGGGATAAAGAGGGAATATAACATTCAGAAAGAGAAGAAAAGATGGAAAAATAACATGGGAGTAAGGGGGAAAACGTTGAAAAGGTGTACGGTAGCAATAAAGAATACATTTTTTTTAAGTGTTTTGACATTTGGGAACAGGTTGTGAAGTCAAACACTGGAGCAAACATTTATTTAAACTATCACTATTGTAGCAAACCCAATAAACCTGATATCCCCGCTCACCTTCCTCTCTCCACCAGAACAAGCACCTCATTGTCTTGTTGAATTGCTGTGAGACACAAACACAGAGGAATCATGTATTATTCACAGTATGCCTGCGCGTCAAAATACTGTATCTGATATGTTTCTTTCTGGTTTCTTTTCAAATGACTGAATCCTTCGGAGCACACTTCACTTTCACTATGTGTACACAGTATAGTATGTAGTAAAAGTGCTGTTTGTGTGCGTATTTGTCTGTATGTGTTTTACTCACAGAGCTCATTCAGTTTGCGGAGGTGGATCTCCTCTCCCTGGCTGTCCTCCAGGTAGGCGTGAAGTGTGGAGCCCACCAGAGCAAACCAGCCCACCTTGGATGTTTGCAGGTTCAAGCCATCTTTACACTTCAGCCGCCCAATCCGCTCAAAAGCTAACCTCAGCAGCGGCTCTGCAGAGGCCGGGATCAGGCTCTACAAACAAAACGGGGACATTACGGCTATGTCATACATTGCACATTATTTATTGTTTCTCTCCTCTTTTAAAGAGGATTTAAGCACTTCAGCCTGAGCATTACTGAACCTCTCTGAGAAAACCAATACTAATTAAATTGTGAAAAAAGGTTAAAGCTCTTGTAAAGTACTTCAATGGTATGAGAGGATAATGTGTCTTTGTGGCTAGACATTCAGGAGCCATGGATATTCTGTCCATCTACCAACTTGGCATTTATGTTTTTTAATTCTCAGGTAAACAGAAACAGCCAATAGATGCAATTTAGGCAATCTTGCATATAATTTAAAATGATAGGTTATGCATGATTTTGAGCATGTTTTTACAAAAATAGTCTACTTCAACCTTACTCTTATACTGCACTGACTTCCAGTAGTTTCAGCAGTAGTTGCTTTATTTAAAGTGGACCTATCATGCTATATTTGAATAATATAGTGTAGGACCATACTTATATAAGGCATATTTATACTTTTTTTTTCTTCAAAATACCAAACAGATCATGCATTTTAGCCATGCCTCATTTCGCTCAATTTGACATTTTTTAGCTCTGTTTGTGCAAGGGCAGATTCTGTGAGAACAGCACCATCTACAGGCCTGGCATATGTACTACAGCGTCTCCAGCGCTTTCGAACGGCAATGGCCGTGGCTGTCTCCTCCTGATTGGTGGAGTTGGCCCAATAGCCGTAGCGCCACCGTCCTGACGTCAGGACAGTGTTCAAATCTGGATCAGTTTTTATCAGATCCGTTGCAGCCCCTTTTTTAGAGATTTGGGTATGGAGGAAAATAGAGAGGGTTGTGTTTTCTGACACTTGGTGAGTTCCCTGGAACACCGGGGACACATATTCATGTATAAAAGACGTACAAAAGTGCATTTTGCATGATAGGTCCCCTTTAACATCATCATGCAGCTGACCATTATATCAGCCGTAAAGAATGCTGGAAAATAAGTGACAAAGGGAAAAAGTCACAATTCACTAGCCCTGTCCTGACCACTATGCAGCCTGTAACTACAAGCATCAGAGCTCTGCAATTTCACTACAGAAAATGAATAACTAGGGTTCACCTAGGGAGAAAAGAAAAAGAAGGATATGATTGAGTGTCTAGAAAATACATGTTTTGGTGGTTACCTTGGCAATAGACTTGACCCATTCCTTGTGGCCGTCTGGGTCATCAGTGCCGAACAGATAGAGACGCTCTGACTCAGAGTACAGTTCAAAGGTGTGTTCATACCTGATGGGTTTGAAATAGGGGTTAGGAGAAATTGATACAGAAAGTGATATTTATGTGATACTGTAAAGGATGTAATTTTGCGTAAAAAAAATGGTCATGCCAGACGTGTATTTGGTTTCACGTGACAGATGAATACGTACAATAACACGCATATTCAGTTTTGGTTATGCATATTATTTCAGTTTGTATTTACTAAAAGTAATTTAATACAGACATTAAAATGAAGGGGTAATGGATTGGTGTGTGTGTGTGTGTGTGTGTGTGTGTGTGTGTGTGTGTGTGTGTGTGTGTGTGTGTGTGTGTGTGTGTGTGTGTGTGTGTGTGTGTGTACCCATGTCTATAAGGCGGGTCAACAGCCAGACAGACGATCTCTGAAGCCTTCAGAGCTCCGTTTGGGTTTGAGTTCTTGTCACTCTCATAGTAGCTGTAGGTGCCATCATTCAGCGTGCACCAGCGACGACTGAACTCTACATGAAGGGAACAATAGAGATTAACAAATAGAGAGAATATTAATAATTATAATAATACAAATGACTGCAGTTACCTCCATCAAGGATGTTACATTTTCTGTTCACAGGCCAAGGACAACAAATAAACACTTTAAAGTTGCGAAATAGGGCGTGAGGCCTCAGCGGAGGTCTGCTCTCTGGGTGCCATTTTAACTTCATTGTGTGCTAATAGCGAAGCCAATTCTTTAACTGATGTATGACTAAGAAGATGGCTTCACAACAAAAAAGAGACTAGGATATGATGTCCATGTGTAATTTTAATATACACGAGAACATTCTTTCGAAATTATCTTTGTGTTGTTTTGTATGTTAAGATGTTCATCTGTGGCTTTCATACGTTTGTAAATGGAGAAAAATAAACAAAATGAAAAACATTGAATATGAATTATTATGTGTTCTTTTTTACTGTGTAAGTCAGTGTTAGTGTTGGATATTGTGTGTAAATACCCTCTTTGGCCTTGCGCTCTGTAATAGCCCGGGCCAAGGATGCAGTCTTGAAAAGGAAGCCATTGTGAGACACACAAGGTGCTGGCAAGTAAGGTCTCGGATCCATGCCTCCACCCGGCTCTGACCGTGGTAGTTCTGCAGGAGAAAAAAAAAATACAATTATTTTATTGGAGAAAACCTAGAACATACTGTACAGACTGTCATTTACTGAGAGTCTATCTGAAATAGGAGAAGTGCATCTGCAAATGTTATACATCCCAACACTCCTTGGTATGACAGGAATGTGGTCATGTAACATTAAGGAAGTATAAGGAAGGTGCACTCAACTCTCATACCCTTAAAATATACAAATATTAGGCTTACAGAACATATAGTATAAAGTAAATCATCATGGATTTAATCCACATACAAATACTGTATGCATGTTACTTTAATAAATAGTTTGATGAGTTAAAAAAAAGCTGTATGTCTTACTGTACCTGTGTTGAGGTTGTGGCTGATTAACTCCGCCTGTAGGGGCTGTGTGTGTGTGGTGGCCAGGGAGAGAGCAGAGGGGGCACTTGGCATACCAGTTGGACAATTTACATCTGCACCACAGAAGATCAGGCTCAACGTCTCCAGCACATCACTGCCCTGCACATTTATACAAAGAGCCTGGAGAAAAGGAGAAAAGAGATACAAATCAAAACAAGATTAAATTCTCATGTACAGAAATTACAGATGGAGACAACGATGTGTTGCTCATGCAGGTCAAGGGCAGATACGTTATGTAAAGATACTATCTAGGCCTGGTGAAATTCATACTAAATGATCATATCAGATGTCAAATTAGCATGTTTTTTCAATTGAATAGAATTACAAAATCTTAAATGGCCAAAAACTGGTAAGACAAAAGAGAGAGACAATTTAACAACACCACTGTCTGGTTTGTAAGGGAAAATGCAACAGAGTGGGAAAGGGAGATAATATGACAGAGAAAGAAAGAGATAAGAAACGCTAATGAGTAAGAATGATACTAAACTGATGACTTCTGTTATTTGGTCCTGCAGCTGCTGACCTCGCTTTAATGATACCATGTCCTCTGGCAGCTTGATTTCAAAGGAAACAGCTGGGGTCAAACTCAGTGTGAGTGTGTGTTTTTTTTGTTGAGGTTGGTTCAAACCTGGAGCAGGCCCTGTTGTACCATAACCAGAGTGTGCAGCTTTCTGATTGGTTACGTTGGTCAGTACCTGTCAACACCGCTATGCCTCTGCCAAGTAGAAGATATGCAGTGTGTCTTGTTTCTTATGTTTTCTTTAAATATATACTGTTTTGTCAACCAAAAAAAAATGTAATTATTTGGGGATTTATAGGACCTGTGGAGGGTATTATTATTATTATAAAACTTCCAGATGTTTATCATTTTTTATTTCATTTGCTGATTCCACTCTAAATCCTCTGTATGCAATTTTAATAACAAAGTAACCTGGAGCCATTTTATAGTGATTGGTCAGTAAGTCTCCATGATCCTTAAGCTTTATTTTAGTGGAGCACTGGTGAGCTGACACAGATTTGAGAGCTGATGAAAAGCTAACTCATGTGGTCTTATAAACTTGTGCTGCTCTTTGTGTGAGGCACAATGCAGCTCATGTAGGTGGTATTGAAGTGTTACATTTGCTGATATTTTCCCCTTTGTTTTACTGAAGGAACTAATAGGGTATTATCAATATTTCAACTGGATCAAATTGAATTAAAGTCATATGACCAAAATCATTGTGGGCTATAAAATAATCTGTGGAGAAACAGAAAAACAATAATTGACATAAGTTGAAAAAAGAGAAAAATCTTAAATGAAAGGAATCTCTTAAAACAAACAACTATTTAAGTTCCTATTAGAGGATTATCATCGCCATAAGGAGATTATTTGCTTTTCAACCAGGGGATGACTAACAAATACAGATTACTGTACACGACAAGAACTACATTGTTGTCTAGACTGATATTACGTCCAAATAGTGTACACTCAAATGTAAGGGAAGTAGGGGGAAGTGCAATAGGAAAGATGTTGTGACTGAGTGAAGGAGGATGCAGTGTTTTCACAGCTGAGGAACTCAACTTAGACGGAATTACACACAAACCCGTGAGCCCACATTGTCTTCTGTTAAAACCAATAAGCTCTCTTGGATCTGATTGTGTGTGTGACAGAGCTCTGTGGAATTTCTCAGACAGAACCCCTCCTCTGTTTGAGCAATTTGACACACACACACACACACGGATCATATAGTTGCAACGATAAGGCTGTTTTTTGGGCCTGGGAATCAATGTTGTTCTAAGTTTTCATTGCTGTTAGCAGCTTCATAACATTTACACGAGGAACAAATAATACAGGTGTCGTTTTCAGGCACACTTAAACAATAATGCAGACGACCAATTAAAAGTCATAATAATGTGCTGTAATTAGGCTTTTAAAACCGAATTCACATAGACATTTTGTTTTTTAGTGTTGTGCATGAGAAGAGATAAGAAAAAAAATAATGTTCAAGTTTTATCCTGTCCTTTTATCTTTTTTAAATAACTTTGTCTAAATCAGCGACTATAGGTAACAGTGGAACACCGGGTTGAGAAGGTTCAATATATTTAATTCAGTCTGTAAATCGTCAACATGAAACTGTAGGAAAAGTCCCAGCATGTTGGCAGCATCATCTTGGAATCCTGGATCAAAGGGAAATATGCTGCGGATCCCTGGAGTCAGTTTGACCTTTTTTCTGTTTTTCTATATGGCATTGCACTTTCTATTTTTCTTTGCCAGAGACATATTAACTATATATATTCTGCATCCTTCTTTTCTTTTGCTTGAATATCCTATACAATCTTTTTTTCCCCCAGGGGAACAACTCAACTAATATGATGACTAGGCTATTACAGCCTCAAATTTGGGAATAATGTACACTACAAATACAATCTGGTGGTTTTAGCCTGCTCTGTGGCACTCAAGCTATGAGAGAACAGAAGCCCATTTGGTGACTCCAATTTTATTCACAATAACCATCAAATTGACCGGCCACAAAAGTCAATACTTTAGATTAATCCCTGCAGGCTAACATTAGCCGCGATGCTACGAGCTGAGCCACAGCAAAATATACTCTAATTTGACCGCAAGCACAATGCAGTTCAAGGAGAGTACCTTGCTATAGACAAGTACAGTGTGACGTTTTGTGATAACTGTGTCTCTCTCTGTGTGTGTGTGCGTGTGCGTGTGTGTGTGTGAAAGCATGCTATATGTAGGTCAGTGTCCTGTAAGGAATCAATAGCCTAACCATGTGCATTCTGACTAAGGGAACCAATCAGAACAAAGTACAATAAGGAAAAGGGGGTTTGAAGACCTCAAACGCCTCCAACATCTGCTGTCTATGAAACAGGGAGTAATGTAATCACACACACACACACACTGAGAGAGAAGGAAAAAGAGAAGAGAAGGGAATTCAAGAATCCTTCCCAATTTCCCCAGAGAGTGAGAAAGAAAGAGTCAGAGGGATTTTATCTGGGTGTGTCTGAAATCACTGGCCTCCATCTGGCCTCCGCAGTTTAACGGGACGGAATCGAAGTAAGCGATGAGAGGCACAGAAGAAAGACAAATATTGTGAGAAGAAGATGAAAGCGTTTTGAGGGACACATTAATCAGACCCTGATTGTACTTGGCTACAAACTGGACATAATACACTCAGACCTCCTATGCACAGACGCACACATGCAGCCCACTCTGCTTTGTTCATTTGAGCATATAGCGAATGTTCAACAAAAAAACACACATTTCTACATGTGTGTATGCACGTCCTTGTATTAAATCCAGATGAGAAGCAGATATCCACATATGTTCCGTCATTACCTCACCAGGGACAGAGAGGGAGATGGGGAAGGAGGTGGAGGTGAAAATCCAGACAGATGGAAAAGGGAAAGAGAAGAGTATGAATATATGGCATAGAGGAAAAACAGAAAGGCAGACACACAGAAGAAGGCTGACAGATAGGGAGGAAAAGAAAATAATTTGGAAATACACAAGACAGCAGATCCCATCACGCAGTACAATTGAACATGTTTTATGACTTAAAACCCTAAAGTGTGAATGTTGAAATGAAGGGACTAAGTTGGAAGTTTTCTTATTTTATGGAAGTCACTTTCCAAAACTATAAAAAGCACAAAAACAGGCCCATAAAAAAGTTTAACTACTGCCTCTCAGCTGAGTCTGCTTGCTATAATAAGTAGCGAAAACACGCTGAACGTCACTGACACAAAGTCAACATAGACACAACTCAAGAAGACTGGGAGTAGTCATAGGTTGTGGTTGTTCAGGTGGGAAGATATGAACTCATACTAGGCTTATAACAAACATGTGATGTGTAATATAAAGTGGGATCAGTGTATGGATTTTAGACTCTTTGGAAAAACATACTTTGTCACTGCATCTTTCTTGCACTTTAAAAAGTAAGCAAGTCAAACTAGGCACAATCATACTAAAAAGCTGCCAACACTTCCCTTTGTGTTTTAAAACTTAACGCAATACCGTAAATGTCCCTGCCAATCATCTTTATGCTCCACCCAGTGCTCTTTGGCTTCTTTATCCTCTCATAAACAAAGGGGGGGGGGGGGGGGTGTTTGATAAGTCAATCAAGAGGCTTTGAGGGAAGTATTGTAATAAGACACCATGAAGTAATACAGGCTCATGGCTGGCCATTCTACACAGTATATGTTTGGTGTGTAAAAGTTGATGTTGAAATATTTCCTCATACAAAATTGTTTTTGCAAGAGAATATGAAACCCAATTATTGAATGAAAGGCTGTTGAAAGCATCAATAGTTGACTGCCTAAAAGAGAGAGGCAAAGAGAGGGGGGACACAGAGCAGGAGGGGATTGAGGGAGACAATGATGCCCATTGACAGAGGTGAGCCTATCATCTCGTACACAGAGAACACATGGACACACACACAATCAGACACACACACACACACACACACGGAAGCAGACAGAGAGAGCGACACGGACCAAAAATGCAAAAAAGGCACAGAAACATGCCTACACACACATTCAAATGCATGTTAATGTATCTCCACCCACTCCCAGTGGAAAGCATACACACAATAACTCTAATGTGCTCGCTGACATTGAGCTACAACACAACAGTTCTTATAGTCTCAAGATAAAACTATGCCACACAAATACATGTAAATATGTGTTTGTTTTAGAGCACTGAGCTCACATACAGTGCTGTCAGAGAACCAAAGTCCATTGACACACATTCCTGAACTAACACTACCCTACAATCCTTAAAACCCACTGAAATAATTCACAAAAACACACAAAATACTTTCAGTACTCTTTCCTACAGCTCACACACACTTACCTGTAGGTTTTCAGTTCCCTTTAATCTCTCCCGTGTTTCAGTGTCAGTTTGGAGGCACGAAAAGTTGCGAATGGCAAAAATAAAACCAGTTTAAGATGCTTGAGTCGAGCAGGAAAGTTAAGAAAAGCAGCCAGGAGTGGAGAGATGAACTTTCTTCTGCAGTCGCAGCCAAACAATGAGGAGGGGGAGAGGGGGGAGGCGGAGTTACAGCACATTCCAGCTACAGCCGTGAGTAATGATGTCACATTCAGAAAAAAAGAAAGGAAAAACAAAAAAGAAAGGAAATAGAAGTGGAGGTAAAAAGCGTGCAATTGATAAACAAACCTGAGCAAGGGACACTCCAGTACTCACACAGAACACAAACGTCTGTTTCTTTTCACACAAACACACACATACACTGTCTTATTGACAAAGCCTTTGCACATAACTACTTAGCTAACACAAACACATTGTAGAGTCTATTCTTTCTTAAGACACACCCAAGTCGAATTAACGCAGAGCTGAGGGAAGCAAAGTATTTGGATTTAAGAAACAGGTAGCCGACAGGGAGACAGAGAACTGGTCACATTCTCAAGTAACGCAGAGAGAGATATAACCTTCATGGAGGACGACCTGCAGCAGCTCAATGAAAATGGTTTAAACCAAAACAAGCAATAATTGGTATAGACAATAAGAAAACATCCTTTATCTCCTTTTGCACTTCCCAAACAAAGTGACTCACACACACTCACAGGCTTGACCGCTTCAGGGAGGAAGAATGAAGTCAGTCAGGTGACTAATGACACACCACACACACCCACACACCCACACACACACACACACACACACACACACACACACCACACACCACAAACACACACACACACACACACCACACACACACCACACCACCACACACAACAACACACCCACACACACCAACACACACACCACACCACACACAAACACACACACACACACACACACACACACACACACACACACCACACCACACACCCACACACACACACACCACACACACACACAACACACACACACACACACACACACACACACACACACACACACACTGCGGTAAGTGGGTTAAGCAGCTAATGAATGAGCCAGCAGGGCCTGACACACTGGCACATTCACTACATTCACCACACACAGCGGAGCGCAGCGGGGGCACAACATAAAACCCCCGAATCTAGCAGCCCGGAAACAGCCCCCAAGGTCCTACTTCTGACTTTTACTGACCAACTTTATCACTTTGACAGGGCAAAGGTTCCCACATTAACAAGGACATATACACAGGTAGTGCATCCTGAGAGGGCTCTTGTCTACAGGTAATTCCTCCCTTCTTTGCAATGTCTGCCCTACATTGCTGATTCTCTTACAACACTAGTATGAGCGTATATGTTTTGCAAACTATGGTGACTCAGAGGCATGCCAGGAATTCACAGGAGTAATAGTTTGTAAAAAATAAAATAACACTCCTATTACTCTAACAGGAGCGATGTTTAGCTTGTCTCTTGATGTAATTTATTCAGATTAATGCATTCAGCCGACTGTGCTTAACATGTAAGTCTTAATGAGGGATTCAGCTTTTTGCAATCTAAAAATTGGCCCACTTTGAGTAACAAAAGTAGCTTGCTAAAAAAGGAGAAAACATCACGCAGTGAAAGAGTTAACTTTAGACTGGCTACTTTATTGTCACTGACTGGAAAATGTGACACAACATACTTATTTTGGACTTTTATGATGAGTTTGATGAGGGATTTAACAGATGCTTAAATTAATGTCGACTCTTAGAAGGTTATTTACATAGAGCGATGTACTTATTTGTTCTGCATTCTTTTGAACTGGTCTTACAGGAACAGCTGGTTTATTGTTTCTCTTTCTTTCAGTGAATTAATCTGACAGATTAATAAAAAAACGGTCATGACATTTCTTTATTCTTGGAGTCTTACTCATGATCTGATTAGTAAACACTCAGATGTATGGTGTATGCTGTTTGTGTCTTGCAGTGCAGAGTTCAGTCACAACTCAACCTGTGACCTATGAGACATACGCACACAGCTGCGGGAAAAAAAAGTCTTAAAGGACTGACTGTGTTGTGTGTAAAAGGGAATTGTAAGTAACTACATTCAACCGTACCCGTCAGAAGACAAATAAATGATAATAAGGTCATCATGATGGGATAAAGACTATTGTTTAGTGTCATGATTTGAAATGATTTAGATTCTCATGGTCATGATTTGGTTTAAAACATTACAGAAGCTGCTGATTTCAGGAACTATGTCAGGTCTGCTTTACGCTAATACATAAGGCATTGTAGCAAGATATATAATGAAAGCAGATTAAAGTGTTAATCAGCTTATGGAGTTTTTATTTATTTAAATGTTATATAAAGTTTTTGCCATAACAAAGGCGAACCAAAGACAAAAGGTGACATTCATTCATGCTAAACTTGCACGAATAAACACAAAAAAAGGTGTTTGTATTTTTCAATACTCAGTGACTTAAAAAAGCTACATGAAAATTGCTGCCTGTTACATAAACTAAATTAGAGGGCTTAGGCTAGCTGACTTTTTGTTTATCAAAACCAAATTGTAGTGATTGCTTTTCTAACCATCTCTAAACCCTCCTTATGCACAAAAGCATCTCTTTCCCAAGGTCTGTTGACTAACGGTGACTTAAATTTACAACGTCGTTTTATAAATTAAATCTCTATTAACACTGAAAACAATGTGTACCGTATATTCAAATCGTAAACACAGGGGTTACAATCAAAGCAGCGGATTAACACTTACATTGTTGAGCTCTTTCTGGTTTCCGTACAGAGGGTGGTACTTCCTGTATTTGCCCTGCCGGTACTTATTGGTGATGAAGCGGCGTCTCTCCTCGCTGCAGCTAGAGGGGGCCAAGGCTTCACTTGGCGGGATGTTAGCTGCCCAGAAACTGTTTACCCGCTCGTTGCCCAGCAACAGGAACACCTGCAACACAGGTAGGATTTAGAGGAAGTATTTCCACATTAAGACGAGTAGGAGGCATCTTTGTAGAGGTCAAGATGTGGGCCGTCTTTTGACAACATACATGTACATTGTGCAGTTTATCAAGAAGGCTTGTACATTTGTGTTATCATTATTTTCATTGCA